GACTGGCTTTGATGGCTCAGTTTGGAACAGGGCTGCAGCACGGCTGGAAATACGTTTTGCCTGTGACTTGACTTGTAGCCAGGTAGATAAATCAGGAAGGGTGTATGTTTTATCTGTGCCTGATTGTAAGATTCCACGATTTAGACAGTATTCCACAAAACTGTCTCTATAAGAGGCTGGCATTTTGCTGAGCAGTCTATCAACATGGGACCCACACATCAGCTCACAACCATTTTGTCCTTCAAGAGTTTGTAGCATACCAACAAGAGACTGGACTGAGAGAGCAAATGAGTCAAAGGCATGAGCATCACCCATCTTCAGTGGTGGGGTATTGAGAATTGCACCTAGCTCAGACTGGACGAGCTGTCTTGGTTGCCCATATTTTTCTTGTAGTGCCTGGAAAGCTGTGGTGTATGGACAAGGATGATGCATGTAAGCCTTTGCCAGCTGGAGGGCACTAGGAAGCCTTAGTTGACTGAGTAGAACTTGAAACTTGTATTGTTCGCTCAAATGAGCATGGCTGTTCAACAGATTGTCCAGTGCCATCTTCAATAGGGCAAAATCACTTTCACGACCACTATCAAACACTGGCAGCGTGGGTCTTGGGATGCCATATGCAGAGGCAATTAACAGTTCAGTTCCGGGTTGTGGCAATGAACCAGGATAGGGAACAGGTGCTGGAATTATCTGATCTTTACTAGGAATGGCGTTGATGACCCCAGGCGGTGATTGGGTGATGAACAAAGGATTGGACNGGTGCGGGATGTACCAGGCCTCCGAGGTTCGGTGAGCTTCTTCTGGTAAGATCTTGGCCACATATCCTTCCACTTCCAGCTTGCGAATTTCAGAGCAGTAGGTCTCCGCTTTGATGGGATCACGAGCCAACCTGCGCTCGATACTGCGAAGGCTGGGCAAAACAGCTTCCTTCGGTGCTTGAAGGGTTATGACTGGATAACGCCGTAGGAGTGGAGTTGCATAATGTTGGACACCACCTATGTCAACTCTCGTAGTAGCTGTCTGCAGTAAGGTGATAGCATGCTGGTCTTGTTTTGATCTTGTCACTGCCTTTGCACAATATGGCAAGGTATCAGTCTGCCACAAACGTTGCACATTCTGAAAGAGTTCTGTGTCGACTGGAACTGTGGTGATGTGCAGACATTGCTGTCCTCTGCGCGCAGTTTGCATAGGAGTCATCGGACCTTGAAGTGACCAGCCAAGTCTGGTACACACTGCAACCGGTCCTCCAGCAGGCCCTTGACAGATTGGCTGGATGGGAGTGATTAGGTGAGGCATATCCGAGCCAATAAGGAGTAAAGGCTGCGCTCTTTCTACTGGCTGTAATGGTAGGCCTTGTAGATGCTTGTAGGTCTTCTGGAGGGCAGCTACAGGGTAGCTATGTTCTGCCAGGCTCAGTCCATCAGCGGAGAAAGCGTCGGAAATCTGATACCTCTCTGCAGGTTCAGACAGGGGTGACACCTCGAAGGACACGGCTAATCCTTCCAGTTGTTTAACATCCTGATGAACAGTCTGCAATGGGAGTATCTCCTGTGTTCCTGAGATATTGAGAGTTTGTATGACAGATGATAGAACTATTGTTCGTTCTGATCCATCATCTAATATTGCATGGGCCTCCATTGATTCATCCCCATTGTGGATTAGAATCTTCACCACCTTCAGCATGACCCGCTGGGAGCGATTTGGGCGATCAAGGTAAACC